GCCGAGGCGTAGCTGGCAAGCGGCAGAGACGGAGCAGGCCGACCACCAGCTGGCCCAGCCCAAGGGAGGTAAGGCACCCGCCGGAAAAGGGGGAAAAAAATGCCAGACAAAAAAAATGGCGGACAGCCTTGCTTGGCGACCCCCATGAAATGGTCGATCGACCCCAAATGGGGTCCCGACCAACTGGTTGAGAACCACTGGGCTAGCTGATGAGAGCCAAATAGCTCGAAATAGCTATACTAGTCTCCCTTTAACTCTTTGCCAGCGAAAATCTAAATTCACAGGAATAGTTTATCGCAGTAGCGACTTGAGCCTGCAAAACGCTCCTAGACTGGGGCTGAAAGGCAAAAGCAATCATAGCAGTAGACCAGGTGCTCTATTAGACACTTACTATAATATTATATATCTATATATATAATATTCTGCTCACATACGGTACCTGACGATGTATGAAGACCACAGAGCCCAAGAGTCTCCACGTCCCACCTTGCCGATCTACATGAAGCATGCGAAGGATCTGCAGAAACCGGATTCCCCTTAAAAGAGACATGGGAAGAGAAAATGCAGAGTGAGAATGGAGAGCAGCCTTCTTTAGGTGTCAAAGTCTGGAATTAGGAGTGATCGGAGAGACTGGCACTTGTGCTGATACATACCCATCACATTATTATTATTATTATTATTATTATGGATCATCGCACAGTCAGCCAGATGTTCAGATTGGATTTGGCATTTTGTCTACCTATCGAGTCCTTTCCCAGGACCTGGGATAGGCAGATGTGGATGTTTGATGGTATTGCAGATCTCGTCACATTATTATTATTATTATTATTATTATTATTATTATTATTATTATTATTATTATTATTATTATTATTATTATTATTATTACTATGGATCATCGCACAGTCAGCCAGATGTTCAGTCTGGCTTTGGCATTTTGTCTACCTATCGAGTCCTTCCCAAGGACCTGGGATAGGCAGATGTGGATGTTGGATGGTATTACAGATCTCGTTGCAGGATGGAAGCAGTTCCTAGTAAGGCCGCCTTTTGCAATTGACTAATGGCGAATTTGTCAATGCCAATGGTGTTCAAGTGGTACTCCAGTTGTTTTGGGATTGCACCCAAGGCGTCTATGACTATGGGTACTACCCTTGCTTGCCTTTGCCACAGTCTTTCTATTTCTATTTGTAGGTCTTTGTATTTTGTGATCTTCTCCAGTTCTT